CAGCAGCAGCAGCAGCAGCAGCAGCAGCAGCAGCAAGAGTATGAATTCATACATCTAATGTTTCTTGTTTTTGTGTGAGCTGCATTTGCTTTGTCTCTATTTCTTTTTTTTTGTCTTCTATCTGCTGCTGCTGCTGCTGCAGCAGATGCTGCGCGCGGTGAGCTTCTTGTCTGTTTTGTTCTGCTGCAGCACACCATGTTTCTTTTTTTTTTGTGAAGTTTTGTTGCTGCTGCTGCAGTTGCTGCTGCTGCTGCTGCAGTTGCTGCTGCTGCTGCTGCAGCAGCTGCTGATCAGCAGCAAGACGCTGCTCTATGCTGTCTCTCTGCTGATTGAAGTTTCTTTCTACGAGCAGCAGCTCTTGCTGCTTCTGCTGCAGTTCATGCTGCTGCTGCTGCAGTTCATGCTGCTGCTGCTGCAGCAGCAGCTGCTGCTGATGCAGCTGCATCTCTCGTGCGTGCTGCTGCTGCCGCTGCTGCTGCTGCTGCTGCCTGTCCCCTTCCAGCCGCTTCAGCAGCTGCTCATACTGCGCCTTCTGTCGAGCCATAAAAGAAGCAGCCTGCATACAAACATAAATCCTGCTGCTGCTGCTGCTGCTGCTGCTGCTGTGGTTGCGGCTGCTGCTGTGGTTGCTGCTGCTGCTGCTGGTGCTGGTGTTGCTGCTGGTGTTGCTGCTGGTGCTGGTGTTGCTGCTGGTGTTGCTGCTGGTGCTGGTGCTGGTGCTGGTGCTGGTGTTGCTGCTGGTGCTGCTGCTGCTGCTGATGCTACTGTTGATGCTGCTGCTGGTGCTGGTGTTGCTGGTGCTGCTGCTGCTGCTGGGCGTGCATTGCTCTGTATTTGTCTTTTTGTGTTCCACTGCGTTTGTCTCTGTTTCTTTCTTTCTCTATCTTTTTCTCTATATCTCTGCTTCTTTCTTTCTCTATCTGTCTCTCTGTCTCTGTCTATCTGTCTCTTTCTCTTTATCTGTCTCTCTGTCTCTCTCTATCGCTTTCTCTATCTCTTTCTCTATCTTTCTCTCTCTCTCTGTCTCTCTTTGTCTCTCTTTCTCTCTCTGTCTCTCTTTGTGTTTCTCTCTCTTTCTCTCCCTCTGTCTCTCTGTCTCTGTCTTTATCTTTGTCTCCCCATATATATATATATATATATATATATATATATATATATATAATTTACATATTTTTTTATTTATATTAATT